AATCGACATTTGGGATCGTGAAGTATGGTGGTGTGACCCCATAAATCCTAGTGAATCTCGGCTGCCGTTCTTGATCGTGGGCTCTGAGCTTCTGGCCGTGGAGACGCATTTATGGCCTGGATAGCTGGTGAACTAATATCTCAAGCTGTCAGAATTCTTGTGAGAATGTCTACGTCTAATCACTCTGATCCTCATCACCAAATCCTGACTTCAGTCACCTCCCACCTTCCCTCATGCATTAAATGCTTATTTGTGGCCAGTGGGTTTGCTGCATTAAACAGGCACTACCTCATTAAATGAAGCCTGGGACCCTGTTGTCATGTGATGATTTGCCTTTAATGCCTTGGCCGTGATTTTGTTCGGCCTCGGCCTCGGCCTGCGCCTAAGGCCGAGATGATCATGCCTTAGCATTTCCTCTTTTGTCTTTAGGAAGGCGAAGCACCCTGGCGAAACGCTGCGTTTCGGTTTTACGAGCAAGTGCCAGGGCCGAGAAAAGAGGCTCCTTCGGTCAGCTTATGGCCGTGATTTATTAGGCACAAACAAGCTCTTCATCAGTCTCTGTGGTTGTTGTAGGAGCAACCACATGCTCTTCCATTTCTCTGGATTCTCTTACAGCACTCTTTCTGAGCCTTTTGGTCTTGGTAGGATGAGGGGAAGGACTTTCAACTGTAAAAGCACCAAGGGAAGGGTCAAATTTCAATTCAGAACCAACCATGGAGGGATGACAAAAGTTCATTTCAAAGAATTTACCTGGAAGATCAGGCTGGACAGCACTATCTTGAGCCTGGGTAGTCTCTTTCCTTTTGCTCTTTCTGACAGAAGGAGTTGCCTTAGAAGCCTTCTCCTCTGCCAAAGTCTCATATTCATCTTCCTCATCTCCAAAAGGGAGCTCCAAATCCCCAGCAGCAATAATGGAGGTAGATGTACAAAGGACAGAAGTTAGAAAGCTCAGTCAAAACAGAAATGAACGCAAAGACAAAGTTCAAAAGCTCATCAATCACTTGCCCAGGTAGACCGGCAAACCTAGCCCTCCACCAGGCATCAAACTCGCCATAACTGCAGGAATTAGACTCCCATGATGGATAAAGAGCATTCACGCTGTTGTTTATTTTGTTCACTGCACATCTGCAGTCCTTGTGCAGATCCAGGTAATCTGCATCCTTCCAGGAAGTTCCCTGGTTGCAACTTCTATAAGATTTCAAGGGAATGAGCTGGGGGCAACCAACCTGCCTGGCACAAAAGTTGGGCTGGTAGACTTCTCCACCCAAGTGATAATTGGGAGGCTTACCCCTACCAAAGGGCAGGTCCCGGGTCAGCATCACGCTCAAGAACCTCTTCCTGAAGTTAATTATGGCTTCTTCATCTTCAGGCTCCTTCGAAAATAGTCTGTATCCTGGCTAGAACCAAGGATAGCTTTTTCTAAGCACAACTTGCCATTGGGCAGCAGACCTTTTGGTGCAATGCCTGAAGAACATTAGATATTCATCAATGGAGCGGTTGGGCACTTCTGCCGACATCAAAGGAAGCGCCATGACTTGATCTTCAGGCAGAACTATGTCTGGAAGCCTCAGTTCTGGGAAATACACTTGCAGCCAAATCTAAATCATCCAGAAAGCACAGGGGGCAGAGATATTCAGAGGATTCTCCCGAGCAGCGCTGTGGAGATTCTTGAACAGATGTGCCAGAACTATGGGACCAAGCCCCACATCAGTGTGATTATGGAGAGCTTCTGCCAGATGCCTGTACTCAAGCAGAACTACTGAAGAACGATTTGGGAAGACAAACCTGTTCAGCCAGTACAGAAGGAACAACATGTGTTGTTGATCCCTATGCCTCTCAGCACTGAACTTCTTCAGGTAATTGGAGAAGGAGCAGTTTTGGTTGATTATGGCAAGAGAAATAGTGAACTTCTTCGCTAGCTTCTTACAATTCTTCCCTTTATGATAATCACCAACTGCATCAGCATGCCTTCCATGAGGTCTGAACCCAAAGATTTGGGCCATATTCAGCAGAGTTGGAGTCATGGGACCCATTTGAAAATCGAAGGTGTTGCTGGCAGAATTCCAGAAACACAGAGCAGCCACCAACATAATCTCATCCCTATTCACAGACTGCTTGGACAGAAGTATGGCATCATAGATCTCATCTCTTTTCCAGTGTTCTCCATACTTCGGAAGAAGCTTGTCAATCTAGTCTAACCATTTCACTGTACTGTTCCTCACTTCACTTAAGGGATACGAGTGGCTCAAGTTTTTGCTAACCCAGGTATGGGAAGCCAGAGCAGAAGAACTCTGATAGCACAGGAGAGCATCAACATCTTCTTTGAACAGAGTGGCCATTTCTTCAGGAACGTTGCCAAACCAGTGGGGGCCGAGAACGAGAGTATTCCCAAGCAAATGAAGAACGTTTTTATCCAGATTCTTCTGGGCATATGGATGGAGCCTGCTGTGAACCTCGATCGCATGTTGATCAACACCATCTCCAGTGAGGTCAGAAGGAGGCTGTGAAGAGGAAGAACCTTTGGCACGAGTTTTTGGAGAAGACATTCTCAACTTCAGGACTAAAGATAAGGATGATCGAAAGAAACAAAGGATTCTGAGGAATATTGAAAGCTGAAAGGAGTTAGGTTTTGAATGAACAATAATGAGGTTCGAAAGTTCTTATAAAGACTCAGAAAAATACCGTGGGAAGGGAGGAATTATCCAGGTTAAAATAGCCGTTAGAATTGCCCACTTCCCCACGAAGTCTGAGTTAATAGGCAGACGTGGGCCAGAGCAACGAAAGGAAATGGCGCGCATCATTAATTGGCCAATCACTAAGTCTGAAACCGTTTCAAAACAATTCAGACTTAGGGGGCATTGTTTGGGCCTAAATTCTGCGCGCCAGCCCATTTGGTTATTGGCCAATAGTAATAAAGGCAGTTTGGGCTTTGTATTTATTGAAATTGGAGATCAACCCAATATAT